TCTGAAAAATTTTCTTCTAGCGAAAACACAATATACTTAACTTTTTTCGATTAGTTTATATGAAACAATGTTTTAAATACTACTAAATACCTATAAGTCTGTCCAACGAGAAGATCCTTGACAGTGATAGATGTGTCTGTCATTTTAATTTCAAAGTAGTTTATTTTATTTTACAAAGAAATAAGTTGGTACAACTGGAACGCATAGCAGGCAATTAATATATGTATTTAAAATTTGACTGACAAGTAACTTCAAAATATTGTGAAACAAATTGTATAAAACTGAAAAAATGTAATCGAGTTATTTTATTTAATAAAAAACGGTATGTGTTAATACAAAACAAACAAAAACAAGACACCACATACCAAAAAATATAAAAAAGAACTATTTCTTACTTTCAAGCTTTATGAAACTTCCCGCATTTATGATTATATTTATCAATATAGGTAAGTTATGTATAAATACAAATATGTAATATTCCGCAGGAATAAATAAAACAACATAAATAAAACAAACTATTTTATTAATAATAACACTTACCAAATTTTATACCTCACAGGTTGATTAATTAACTTTAATCTTAATTTTTTAAACCAGTACCTTTTGACATTATTTTTCTGCAGTACTAAAATCCATTATTTACCTATCGTGCGATGTCGATATTTTACAGCTACTCCAGTTTTTAGTATGTGTTTAGAGTATGGTCCTTCTACCATATTCGAGATGCACTTATCTACGACGAGATGGTATACGAACTTTATTGATAGTAACTTTATTGGTGTATCTGTATAAGACGTTCTGCCTGGGCAGCGAGTATTAACCATAAACTGTGCTCTGGGTTCTACAGTTAATTTTCACTCGATTTTTCCTCCTTGACTTCAAAAGACACAAAACACACGTAATAACACGAATCAAAATGCATCATCTTCCAAAACGCAGGGTATTTGACAAAAGTTGCAACAAAATTATAACCTATAATTTGGCAAGACTTTGACAAACGTCAAAAATCCAAAGGCGAGTTCATACGCATCGGCGTCCGTTTGTCATTCATCGTTCCGTCAAACCAATTAAATTGAAATACGATCTGTTCCTTTTTGAAATAAACCAATAAAACTGGTTAAAAACAACAAGTGACGACGCATGACGAATTTATATTTAAACCCATCCATAGTTAACTTAAAAATTATTAGAAACTTTTTTTAGTAAAATAAATAGATAGGTATGGGTCGTCATCTGCTTTTCTTCTGTCATCGTCTGTCGAAATCTTACCTGAGAAAAAAAACAGAGTATACTTACTACGCACTTGACAAAAAATTAAAACTTTTTTACAGTTCTAGAAAAGCTTTTTCTGTTATGTCATAATTTAAAGTCACCCAGTATACACATAACGTAATAGAGGTATGTATGGGCACTCCCCTAGAATTCTCACAGGTTCAAAAAAGATAAGTTCGGCATAAAACATTCCTGCTCCGAACCAAAATAAAACAACGTTCCACAAACGCGTGCCCATGCTTTTTAATTCAATCTTCAACAAGGAAATGTATCATTTCCAATTTACATATGCTAATTTAGCGTTTGCCTTTGACGGTGTTGTGTGTTTCCAGCTTTCAGGCTATCGCTGACGTATTCAGATCAATTTCAGCAGATAGTATTGAATTACGGAGATAGCTGCAGGTCATTTACACAATAAAACAACACAAATGGGCATATTAAAAGCATTACGTTTCTTAATTGCGCGCTCTTGTTTTAGCGCTAATCGCTTTATTAGGCGTGTAAATTTGTTTGTTTGGAAATAATCGTCTGTGAAATCTACCAAAATCATTTTATTGGATACTGTGCTGAACTACTAACATTTTTTTTTCGTAGAAGGATGTGGAATATTTAAGATTCTATGTTAGTAAATTAAAGTGCATTCAATTTAATTCATTGGTATTAGATATGTTTCGACCCCAGGAACACGCCAATGTCAATGATTCTAGCACAGAATATCTAGCTACGCCAGGAAATGGTATCGTAATATGGTACTACATTATGGTACCCCTTGATATGCTTCATGGTACCATAATATTGCAATGTCATCAAAAATACGCAAGTCTAATCAAATATGAGCCCAATCGAATGTCACGAAGTGGTATCGTAATATGGTACTATATTAAGGTACCACTTTATATATGCATAATAGTAGATGCATCATAGTTCCATCATATTACAATGTCACCGAAGATACTTACTATACCAAGTTAAGCCCAATCGAACGCCAGGAAATGGTATGGTATATGGTACTATTATGGTACCTCTTGATATGCTTCATGGTACCATAATATTGCAATGTCATCAAAAATATGCAGGTATATATCAAATATGAGCCCGTCAGGAAGTGGTATCATAATATGGTACTATAGAAGGTACCAATTTATATGCTCCATGGTGCCATCATATTACGATGTTACCGAAAATACCTAGTATACAAAGTTTAAGCTCAATCGAACGCCAGGAAATGGTATCCTAATATGGTACTACATTATGATACCCCTTGATATGCTTCATGGTACCATAATATTGTAATGTCATTAAAAATACGCAAGTATTATCAAATATGAGCCCAATCGAACGTCAGGAAGTGGTATCGTAATATGGTACTATATTAAGGTACCACTTTATATGCATCATAGTACCATCATATTACATCACACCGAAGATACTTACTATATCAAGTATAAGTCCAATCGCACGCCAGGAAATGGTATCGTATATGGTACCTCTATCGTATATGGTACCTCTATGTACTATTATGGCACCTCTTGATATGCTTCAAACCAAACCAAACCATAATATTACAATGTCACTGAAGATACGTAATATACCAAGTTTAAGCCCAATCGAACGCCATGTATCGTAATATGGTACTATATTACGGTATCACTTGATATGCTTCATGGTACCATAATATTGCAATTTCATGAAAAATACGCAAGTATATATCAAATACCGTACGATACCGAAAAAAACGGCGTCCAGTTGGCTGGAAAAAGACGATCGATGACATTTCCCATATAAATTTACACATAAAATGACAGCGATTTTCATTTCATAGCCATCGCTAACGCCGTTTTTTCCCAATCATACGGTATGAGCACAATCGAACGTCAGGAAATGGTGTCGTAATAGTAGAACAATACTAATTATATTGTCGCCGAATTACAATCAAAATTCAGGATTCAGTTAGAATCAAACGTCAGGAAGTGATTTTAATTCAGCTCGTAAGATTTAACTCCAACTAACATGGCGAAAATACTTAAACGTTTGAAAAAAGAGCTCTAATCTATTTTAATATGTTTAAATGATGTAGCAAATTTGAAGCTAAGCTTTATCAGGAAATATTACAATATAAATTACACAATGGCAACACTGCATAAAATTCTTTTAAATTTCGTTTGTAGAAAACTGTTTTCTTTTAAATTTATCGCCCTCTGTTATGTAGTAGTGAAACTACCGCAACAAAATATCTGATTTGGAGACCTACGATTTTATACATGTAACGAGGCTTCTGTTGCGTAGCTAGATATTCTGTGATTCTAGTCTTTGTTCTAGTACACATAGTAGAGTGTAGAATGTTTAGAAGGGGAGTTAATTACCGCGACCTTTCAGATCTATTGTTTGTCCTCCTTTTTTAAGTTATAACGAGTTATAACTCATCATACAATCCCAGGGCTTTGACACAAAAGCCAGTAGGTACTGGTCATCTCAGGTGAGACGACTCCACAGAAACCAGACGGCTCCACACAGGCCAGATGGCTTCACAGAGGCCATAGTAACAATGATATATCAAAATTCAATTAAGCATAAATAAACAAAAATTTGAAAATTTAAACCGGATATTTCTCAAAAGTGGCTGACTCCTATTAGAGCTCTTTTATTTTTTCGTATAAAAAACAAGATTTGGTACATTAATATTTGACATAAATTGGGATTAATTGACGTATTCAATTGATTTCGGTTACCTACCTCTTGTTTAACTGGAAATTGCAAAATATTCGACATTTTCAATTTCAATTTAGAGTGTCTTGGCCATAAATGTAAGGAAAATTTGACTCGAAATACCAATGTGTGGTACTAAATATTTGTATTTTTTGCTTACGAAGGAAAGAGAACCAGACTTTACTTTTCCAGTGGCGAAATGCCCATAGGAATTTTTTAGATAAATGAATCCGCCACATAGGTATAGACATTTTTTACTAAATTATTAGTAAATGCTTTTTTCAAATATGCTAATGAGTCACCCTTGTTCTATTTAGAAAAAAAATGAGTTATGTTTAAAAATACGAATTACACATATTAACTGACCATGACAAGACACTAAAAATATTAGACGATTAAATCTTTTTTTCCAACGGTTAAAAATTACTCTTTTTAACTTAGCCATGAGATGATTTTAACTAGATTGAAATTTAAAATACAATTTTTTAATCAAAAATGTCAGAAGTTGACATATAATTGTGTATCAAATAAAATAAAAAAAAATACTTAGGTTGCCATAAAGTCAAAAGCCATTTAAAAATCAAAAACATTAAGAAGAAAAACAATTTTCAATAAAATCACAAATCTATTTTACCGATAACCACTGCCCTGTTCTCCAAGCTCGGGCTGCTACTGTTTTAATCGATGTATCTCGTAAAAAATAGACTATCGCGTCAATAAAAAATCAACAAATTTGCAAGTAGCCAATGTAATGAGTGTGTTTTGCGGTGACATACTCGTCAAGTCCACGTGTATTCTATGCTGCTTGTATGTAGGTAACGACCTATAAAATATATTGCTATTTATTTAAATGTATTTTGTAGTAAATTGATCATACACCAATATTGTGTCCGCATTCTTGAAATTCCTTTCGTAGACACAGATCCTGTAGACGTACTTTACATATAATATTCAAATCACTAATAACCGATAGTTTTCTTTTCTTTTCAGACAAACACTTCAGCCATGAGACAAACCTGACCCCAAGCATTTCCATGAAGTGGAATAGGATGAATTAACAATTGAGCATCATGGTAATGTGCAGTGCCATGGATAGCGTCGTGATACCCAGACCCCCTGCACTACCTCTGGGGCCTTTGGTCCCTACCTTCCCCTTAAAAGGTACTTCACTGCCCCCACCACCGCCTCCTCCAAAACCTCAACACAATCAATTGGTGCAAACTGAAGAAAAGGAGTCATCTAGTGTTCATGTAACGAGGAATCAGGAGGTAGGTGATAAAAAGGTAAATACTACATATGTATATACAAATTATTATTAGCCTTTGTATGTTTTTCATCTTTATACTTACAATATACAGGGGGTTAGTCTTTATTTTTTTAGATTTATTGTAATTTTCTTCCAAGTGCGATTCGAATAATTTAAATAATTTTTTTTGTAATTATCTTAAATACCAAAATTTAATACCTTAATCCAATGTCAATAACTGGCCAAACTATTAAATAAGTTGATACTCATTGATTTCTCATCAAAAAATATAAAGAAAGGTCCGATATAAACATGGGGTATAAAATACTCTAATAAGAGTAATTTTTATTTCAATCACTAAGTTTATATTAGAGTAAAATATAATATTTATATTTTTTATGCATTTACTATAGGTATGTGAAGAAAGAACTGTTTTTGAAGAACGACGAATAATACAAAAAATGGTGGACAAAAAAATTACAAGGAACGAAAGTACCAGAAGTAAGATAAGCAGTAGAAGCGTGACATCACAAAAGTCCAATGGTTTTAGATTAAGAGAAAATGGTAAGAATGAAAAAGCGCAACAAATATAATAAGTTGCAAGTTATCCTAGCATATATTTACAATAAAATTTGTAGTTTTCTTTTTTTATTATTCTGCTGTGATTTACACTTTTTTCAGTTGAATATTTATAAAATGCGTCATCTGAAATCATTATTCTGATGATTACAGGGCACAACAACTCTCCAAATAATATGAACAACGACGATGCAGGATCGATATACAGCATTTACAAGCAAAAAATCGACAGCATGTTCGAGTCAGATTCCAGCACTAGTCATAACAGTGTCCAGGCTAAAATAGAAAAAATGTTTAGTGATGTCGCTAAAGATAGCGGTTTATTACCCACTCAAATAGGAGTCCATACATTCTCAGTAGATTATTTAGGCAGCATTCCGTTACAAGATAAAGTCAATAGTTTAAGTGGTTTGCAAAAACCTTTAAGAAAACTATATTTTTCGTATAAGAAATTAGTTAAAAATAAAAAGGTTTGCTATAACTGTTAAATATTATTATATTAATAACTGACTCGAATTATTTCTTAGACATTATCAGGTCGATTAGAGATATCTCCCCAAGGTCTAAAAGTTCAGTACCAAGGCCAATCAGGAGACTTGGAACAGATGAATTCGTATCCTTCAATTGCTGTCTGGTCAGCAGTTAAATTTGTCATCCAAGAAACAACCGGAAATTGTTTATCTTACGCTTTTCTACCTCTCATTACTGATCCAGATAATATGGACAAGCAGGCTCTCTTTAAGAATTTAGAAGATAACGAAAAGAAGTATATCACCAAGGAAGAACACTCTCCTCTATTTGCTGTAGTAATGAGGAAGATTGGAGTGCAAAAACAGCTGGAATGCCATGGGTAAAAGATAATTCAAAATATATCCCCACTTTCCTAATCTGTCTAAAATAAAATAGGTTTGTCTGCCAAACGTCAGAAGATGCCATAGTTATTGCTGCCACGTTGTATAAATCCCTCGTACACCATATGAAGCACAAAGAAAAGCGCTTCGAAAACAAAAATGGTGTCACCACCTGCATGTCCACCACTTCAAGTACAATCGTTGATAAAACTGGAGCGTCTGTCCCTGTCAGACCTCCCAGAAGAAAAAGAAGTAGTGCAACCTCTTCAGTTTGTAGTGACACGAATTCTATAGCCAATGTAACTACTAACTATTTATTTTCTGTATTATTTTTAATGTTGTTTCTGTTGTAGGTCTCAGATACTCAACCTCTTCTATCTTCAGATCTTCCTTCAGCTCCGAAGAAAAGTACAAAAGCTAAGAGAGCTCCTGAAGTTCCTAACCAATTCAAGCAAGAAGATTTAGATGCCATAGTACCGTACGAGGAGCCTATCGATGTTAAAAGTGCTGAGGTTAGCGAAATAAAGCCTTCAAATGAAGATGAACAAGGAGTTCAAGAAATTAAACCAAAATCTTTTTCTGGTAAGGATATAAAGAGCTATAGAGATCTATTGTGTCCCTTTTTCTTGAGTTATAAACTCATCATACAGTTTCAGGGCTTTGACAAACGGTTTTACAGAGGTTAGTTATTTATATCCGCTATCAGGCGTACCAAAGTTTATGGTATGAATGGTTGTCGCCTCGAGGCACTCAGTGATGAGGTGTTCTGGTATTTCCACATTTTCCTCACAGAATCTGCATTTGTCGTTGTTTCTTAGCTTCAATCTACTGAGGTGTTCATTGAGAAGATTTCAGTGTCCTGTTAAACACCTTGTGACAATCCTACGATTGTTCTTAAATAAATAAATCATCTTTGATTTACCAACTAAACGTTCTCCAACCCAGTGTGAGTACATATGTATCTATGTAAAACCTCTGACGAGGGTTAGGGGACTCAAAAAACTCACAATCTTTCAGGATCATCTTTGATTTTTCTCGGTTGTTAGTCCTGGAAAACTTCTTCGAGTGTCTTATCGTTACAGATTACCCATGAAGTTTTCCAAGGTTCTTGAGTTCCGCTTAAGTTGTCTCTTTAAGCTGTCTGTATGTCTCCACTTGGGAAGCAGAACGGTTCTGGTTCAGCTAGTGGACGGTTCGCTCTTTTTCTAGCTAGATCGTTTGGTTCTTTATTACCGTCTATCCCTTGGTGGGCTGGTATCCAGAGTAGGAGGACTTTATTTTCTTTGAATAATTTGTTCAGATGCTGTAAGTCATAGTATTTAAACTGTTTAAATTTTAGATAAACTCAGTACGTTTATGAGCAAGGAACAAAAACAAATTGCTGAAGAACTGAAACAAATGGTAACTGATTCAAATAAAGGACTAAAAAGGGTGCAAAGCTTCAGAAAACAAAACGATGATACCATCAGAAAGAAGGAGCATTCCGGTGATATTTTTACCAAAGTTACCATTCCTCGATCAGGGAGTTTCCTGAATACTGCTGGTTTAACCAGGTATAAAAATAAGGTTTCTAGGTAAAACATAAATTAAAATAAACGAAAGAATGTTATAATTAATAATATTTTTACTGTAGAAACAATGAGACAGCTAGTGGAGGATCTCCTTTAGGCTTTAAAGAAATATTTAACGAGCTATCGTTACAAGAAGGATTACATTCCATGGATGACATCCTTTCGGTCATTATCGACCCAGACGGAATGTCTTTTAATGACCTGAAACCAATTTACAAAGAATTTTTGTTGAAACTTGCACTTACTCTCACAAAAGACGAGTTATATATGAAAAGTAAAAGCATCATGAGGAGGCAAAAAAAGAAACAGATTAAAAGGTAAAGCAGTGTTTTTTTCTTCACTTTTTAGCTAACATTTGTAAACTTCTAGATCAGCTAGCGTGAAGAAAGCTTCTCACACGTTGATATCTGGAAAATTCAAGAGGTTGAAGCATATTTTCCAAAAGAGTTTTAGAGAAAAGCAAAATAAGAAACTGATGGAAAATAGTAAGTTGAAAAATATTGTAAGTTCTGGATGTGGCGAATCGAAATTGCCTGAAAGTAGTATTAGTACTTCTTCTTACGACACAAGGCAATTTAGAACTAAGGAAGAATTGGCTGGAAAAAAATCTGCATACAGGAAAAAATCTCATGGTTCGTAAAAGTGACATGCTTTATGTTTTTAGTAACTTAGGAAACATACAGAGAAGACCAGGCTACTAGTAACATAGCAACTTGCCGGACGAATTTACGCTTACCCGATTGCGTTCGTACTTGAGATTCACTGCCGGCTAGTCAACTGGTTAGGCAGTACGCAGTTGCAGTTGTGCTTGGACGGGTCGGTCGTGACAGACTAGGAATACGACGCGAGGAGTGCCGAGTATTTATTATTTTCATTTTAAGTGTTTACCTTCACTTAAGGTAACATTTAAAATTAAAATACTTAAATATTTATTATTTGAGTGTGTTTACAAGCCAAAACTAAAAATAAATAAATTCTCTAAACCCAAAACTCATTTCCAAAATTAAAAAATGCATCAATAAAATAAAAAAAAATTAAATATTACTCTAAATAAAAATAGTTATAACAAGTGTTCAAAAAGACCACCTTCTTGTGCTAGACAGAAGCCTAGGTGGTCGTAAAATCAGGGCTAATAGTTTGGAAAGCCTCGCGTATTTTTACTTGAAGCTCATCCAGATTATTAGCCCTATTATGACCGTACACTTTGGATTTTACATAACCCCACAAAAAGAAATCATTGAGAGAAAGATCTGGTGATCTAGCGGACCACAAAATAGTTCCATATCCATTAATTAAACGGTTGGGAAAAGTATTGTTCAAATATTCTTGAACAATACGGTTGAAACCAGACATTGTGGAATCTTTCTCCCAATAACTCACGAATTCTAGGCACAATCTGCTGCTGTAACAAGTCCAAATATTTTGCAACAGTTAAATTACCCTCTATAAAAAATGGACCAATCATATGCTCCCCTACAAAACCACCCCAAACATTTAGCTTTTGAGGATATTGCGTGCGCATCTCAAAATATCTGTGCAAATTTTCCCCGAGACCAATATCGCACTTGTGTAGGGTTATGACGACTCAATACATGAAAACTTGATTCGTCGGTGAAAACTATACGCCGAATAAAGTTTTCATCTAAATTGGCCTTTTCCATTACAGATTCACAAAACGCCATACGCCGAAATTGGTCTCCATGGAAAATTTCTTGAGTTTTGCGCGCTTTATACGATCGGTATCCATTCTTTTTAAGGACTCTTTTAACCGTGCTAGGTGAGGAATCTGTTACCACAATTTGATTACTTGAAAACGTGGGATTTTGATCCGCGGTAGCACAGATGAACACTTGCTTTAACTTCTGTTGTTCATTAATCAACACATCAGGCTTTTTGTGTTTTTGTGGGGACACGCACACATGTGTTTCAAAATTATTAATAACTCTTGATATAGTAGGTAAAGATGGAATTGGCCTGTTTACAAAAGTTTGTGGAAAAATTGTTTGTATATCCCGATAAGATCTATTTTGGAAATACCATTTTACAATTTGAATTTTCTCACGAACTTCGTAAACATCCATTATTTTACTTAAAAAATAAATTTTACACCAGAGCTGTCGCGAGAATCTATGTACTCGTTTTGGCTATTAAAACACAAATAAATACAAATTCTGAAACATTCTTATCACATATCTACCTATTTTTATTTTATCGCATTTTTTCGCTTGCTTTTTATCCGGCGCCGCAGCGGACGGGTATACGCTAATTCGCCCGGTTCTGCCTATGTTACTACTACGGTGGTCCGGTCTGTATAAACATTAGTTAGCTAACTTTCTTCGTGCTCTATCTGACATTCTTTAAATATTTTAGGTGATTACAGTAAAAATAGAAGAAGAGATCGAGCTAGTACCAGTGAAGAATCGGACTTCATGTCTTTGAAAAGGCAAAATAAATACAAAAATCAGAACTCCAATCTTCTTACTTTGAATCATAATCGAAACTCCTCATCAGGTATAGATATTAAACTCGTTCAAAAATTTCCTGAAACAGGAAAATATAGTTGCTTTAAATTTGTAATTTGTAGTCTATGTACTTCTTTTCTTTCGCCATATTGATGTCTATGCTTGACTAAGATACCCTTCTATGTCTAGGTTATGTTTCATGCTCTGAATGTAGCTACGACTCGGACACTTGCACCTGCGTATCAGCAGACAAGTGCTACTGCAGTTTGGGACAGCGCAATATCGGAAATGGTAGAAGGGGTAGTCTTCGTGAGTATCTAATAAATTTACTATGCTACATAGTCATATTTAATTTACTCTTATAGATACTATTTTAGTATATATCTATATTTTAACCTGTAAGCTGTGTGCTATCTATAGTAGATATCTATAGTCTAAAATCATCTCTATATTTCATTCAGAATATTCTAGCAAACATGATCTGTTACTCCTTACAATTTCTAATAAATGTGACATTATAAGCTTAAAAATGTTTCTTTAATATTGCTGACATAACGTTGATGGTTTTAGAAGAGGAAATTACATGTGCAGCTGATCCTACATTAATATATTGTGACTGTGATACCGATTCTTGTGCTGAATCCAACAAATGCTACTGTCATTATGGAAACAGACCCATCATCCAAAATAATAGAAATACTTCTCATCACCATTCCAATTGTATGGTCAAACACTCTCAAAAACATAAAAAATTGTGCAAGAAAAATTCAAACACTAAAAGTAGTAGAAGCTTAGAATACATGTCAAACCCCAGTGAAGGTAAGATACTTAATATAATAATAAAAATAACTCTAAGTGTGTACCCAATTTAAGGATACTACGAAAAACTCAAAAGCAAACAGAAATTTGGCAGTGAAAGAATAATCTCGCACTATGCTTCCAAAAATGACTTGAAGAAACGAAGAAACAGCCATTCTGGTATTGGAGGTCATATAATTGATGGGGAATTCAGCATGATCACCCACCAAAATGTCCAAATGGGTATGGTTGGCGGAAACCTAACCGCCTTGAACTACGATGTGTTGAAAATGTCGAAGAGAGATATAGAAGAGGCTTTATACCGAGGAGCTTTCAGTGAGAGTTTTAAAGATTATTGCAGAGGAAACAGTGGTATAGATCCAAGTAAGGATATTATCACTACCCTACAATCAATTACTTTGTTACCAATCTAAATATTCTTCTAACTACTTTATCTTTATTGATCAAAACTCAGTAATATTAGTGAAATAAGAAAAAGTATGGTAACAAGAAGTATTTATCTAATTGTAGTGTGGTTAAAGATTAAAATAATAGTGTTCTTTAATCTATAAATTGTGTTTTAATTTATTTTGTTTGTCAGGAGGTCAACGAATCCAGTCAGCAATAACTACTGGAGCATGTACTGAAGCATTATCCGTTAAAAAATCAGCAGAAATAGCTGCTTTGTTCGCCGATATGAAACTCACTCAGACAACTGACATCACTCATTTGGCACCGCAAGGTTTTGACATGAACAACATGACCGAGTCTAAGAATTTGTATAATAGTGAACAGTCATTATTGGCGAAGTACAGGTAAATCATCATGATTTTCAGCTTATTCAACCATTTCCAATAATTGTATAGCCTTTTTTTCACCAAAAGGGGCCGTCCTCTGCCGGAAACACTGCGACCTGTGAGGCCTATTGTGTTTATCCCCTTTCTATATCTGCACCAATTCTCCTATCCCTGTGCCCTGCACTAACTTATGCAGGTCCTTGATAGGATGGGAGCATAGTTCCTCCGGTTCTAGCCTAGCTTTCCCAAATAAAAAGTGTCGCTTGCGATCCAGAGCCTCTCAGTGACATATTATGTGCTCCGCTGTTTCAGGATCTTTATCGCAGAGTCTGCAGCAAAGACTTCCTTGATACAGGTTGAGCTTGTTCAGGTAACGCTTGACAGCCATATGACCTGTCAAGAGGCCTGTTTTAATCCGCAATTTATTCCTGCTAAGCATTAACATTTCTTTTTTCGGTTTTAGAGCTAGGTCCTTGGATAAAAGCCTTGCTGTGCCCCTGTCTGTTTCTCCAGTGGACATTCTGCTTTTCCCTGATCCAGAGTTTTAGTGCACTACGAGCCATACATTTGGGTATTCCCAGTACTGACTCTGGACCAAGATAGGATGCCGATGATCCTTGCCTAGCTAGCTCATCGGCTTTTTCGTTGCCTTGGATGCCGCTGCGGCCCGGCAGCCAGAATTATTTAATTCTGTTCTTTCGAGCCAGAGCTCCCAGTTCACCTAAACATTCCCAGACGAGTCTCGACGATACCTTTAGGTTTATAAGCGCCCCAAGTGCCGCCTGACTGTCTGAGCATATATTGATGAGCTTATCTGAATAAGCTCTTCTATTGTTTTCTCTCGCACATTGTAGAATGGCGAAGATTTCTGCCTGGAATACGGTTGAGTGTTGAAGGATAAACTTACCCTTGGTCTTTCCCCAAATACTCTAGCTGCTGTTCCTTCAGCGGTCTTTGACCCGTCTGTATACCAGGTTAGTCCATCCTGAAGGAATGTTATATCTGTCCACATTCCTCGATCCATTTTGTTCACCTCGAATGGTTTGTGGTAGTGATAAAGAGGGGTCATTTGGTCCGATCTCATTTGGAGTAGAGGTCTCTCGATAGAATTTCCCAACTTTGAGTGTCCTGTTTCTGTCCTATTTCCCAGAGACAAGACACTTTGTTGTCGATAGAGTCCCATTCTTGCCTCCGCCTGGATCACTATGTGAAGAGGCGGTAGGTCCAGAAGCCCCTTCATTGATGCACTGGGCGTTGATTTCATCGCCCCTGTTATGCTCAGACAAGCAAGTCTTTGCACCTTGCTGAGACTGAGCATTGTTGTTTGTTGCATTACCTTAGGCCACCATACCAAGGATGCATATGTTACTGAAGGCGTCTCCAGTGTACAACCAGTGCACATCTGTGGTCTGAGGCTCCAGATTTTTCCATGAAGTCGTCTGACTACCGCTAGTGTAGTCACCGCCCTCCTTGTGACATTTTCCAAATGTCGGTTCCAGGTCAGTTTGGTATCAAGCGTGATTCCTAGATACTTGACCTCCCCCGAGAGAGGAATCTCAACACCGCAGAGTCTTAGAGGGCCTTGAACCACCTTCCTCACCTGATTAAATAATCTCTTTGTAATTGGGCTCATAAATGTCTATTGTTGGCTATGCAGGCTAAATTTCTAATATCAAGGTTATATCTCAGATTACAGTTAAAAAATAAAACACTAATTAACCAAAATACACCAAAACACTTAACTTTTGCACCGAACGCACGTTTCGCTAACCATGTTTGTATCATCAGCAAATGATTAAAGCTGAATTCTCTAAAATTCTCTTCTAAAATCTATCTCAGATCGTCTTCGACTCGGGATAATTTTCAAAATATCATGAACTCGAAAAAATTTCCGGAAATAATTTGACCTCTAGTGGTATTACTAGTGATAATTTTTCATTTAAGCATATTGTCAATAAAAAAACAGCATCCATTTATATTCATATTTTGGAAGACTTTTTTTTTATTTGAAGACTTGATTTTCTTATGGTAAAATATGAATATAAACTCATGCAGTTTTTAGATAACATGCTTCTATGAAAAATTATCGGTAATTTTGATGCACTTGGGTAATTACTATCGAAAACATTTATAATAATATTTCTCTTTATAGTAAACCTATAAAAGGTCCTCCAAGACCGGATTCCAAAGCTATTTCGTTACCCAAACCACCTTTACCACCACCAGCATACGCGAGACCTACAGGCTTGACCAAGAACAAATCCAAACTGTATTCGGCTAAAAACGGACTGTATACTATCCAAAGTCAGTCAGACGAGAGCAGAGCAAGCAGTGTCAGCGGTGAAGGTAGAAGGAAAAGGGAAAATAGCATGGCGTACAGTCACAGAAGAAATGTCAGTTCAAATATTGAAAATTCTTTAGGATATCTACCATAGTAATACCTGCACTACTAGTTTAATTGTTTAAGTAAGAATAAAAAATAAAGTAAATTATTTTTTATTGAAATAATTAGGTTTATAGTTACTATAAATGTACTTGATGGTCTAGATTTTATAGTAACTGAAAAATTATAAAAATATGCTAATTATAACATGTGTTCTATCAACTGTTTAGAGTTCATATGTCTGCAACAAAAATTTGAGCACTCTGTATATAAAATGTCTTTACCTTCTCTACCAAAAAATATGTGACGTCAAGTATATTAACCCTCTGATTATCATGTACACATACTAGGTATAAAATAGTGTTCTTTTTTATTTGTAGTTATTTCTGAAATAACCAGTTCAAAATTTTTTTTTCATGAAAGAAAGTTTGTTTTATGTTGAGATTTATTATTTTTTCCATTTTAGTAACCACATTTTTATTTATTTAATTTATTATAAGTTTTGTTCTGTTTTTATTCAAAGTATCTAATTTTTATTTATAAATTAATATAAACTCACCAGCAAAAAAAACGGCCACTGAAAACTAGTTCCAATTTCAAAGTTGGATTTCCCAACTCTGAAATTGGGACTAGTTTTTAGAGGCCGGTTTTTTTTGCCGGTGAGTATAACTTCCAGTATATTTTTTTTTTCAACTACACTCACCGGCACGAACTGCTAATTTAACTTTGTAATATATGTGTCATAATTCTTTAAATATTTTAAACCCTGTTATAAATAACATCTCAGATGTATTCTTTGTTAAAATGGTATACAAATATTCTACTTTATATTGTTAATATTAGTAGCTGTAGATTTTGTTAATACTGTGATTTTTAAATTATACAGGGTGAGTTTCCTACGATGTTCTCTATGGGCATCTCGGAAACTGCTGGAGATAGAGAGTCGGTTAAATGGGGAAAGAATTGCAGTTTTGTGAGGTCATAAATATGCGCCTTTCAGATTTTTGAAAAAGTTCATGGCTTACGAGATATTTCGAAAAAAACAAATTTTGGCTATTTTAAAAATTGTCCCTAATTCCATTATAATCTATTTTAGACAAAAAGTGTTCAGATAAAAGTTGTAGATAATCACATTCCTAATGAGATTGTGTTCTCCGATTTTTTCTAAAGCCTGTCATTTTTGACATATGACACAAACATATGTTTTTTTAAATGGAAACCATAGTTGGCCATGACTTCATAAAAAGCGCCATTTTTTAAGCTTTTCAGCGATATAAGCTATAATATGTTTCTTTTACAAAATTACTGAGTTATAGCCAATTCTTATCTTTCTTGACTAATTTCACTTAGTTAGCCATCCAATCTTTGTAAATTAAAATAAACAAAAATTGAAAATATTTTTTTTTAAATGAAGAAAAGCGTGTAGTGGCTATTGGTTCAACTTTTCTTGACCATACAAGATACGTTGACCAGTGAAAGTTACTTACGTTTTTTAGAGAACGGTGTTCTAATTTTGTTATGATTTATAACTTATAAAAAGACAAAATATTTTATTAAACGGCTCTTTACAATTTACATTACACAAACTAAAAGTTAAAAAAATAATCAATACATACACTTTAAGTTAATTTAGGAAATGTTCAAAAAATCCGCAATTGTTTTGAGTACATAAATGCATCTTTTTAAAACTGAATTTCTAGCTATTGTCACAGAACGACCGGTCGACTTAATTAAACTTCTCCTGTTTCGCCTCTTCGAGTGCCTTTCATAAGTTCATAAGTCCTTTAGTAAACCTTGTTGTTAACCATACCGTATAAAAAAATCTAAAATGGATAGGTCAGATGACCGAGGACGCCGAGGAGACCCATGCAATTGGTCCACCTCTTTCTATCCCTGAGTCTACATAATTATGATAATGAAATAATTTTTAACATTTCTTACAATGTGGGAGAGGGGTTTGGTGTGTCATAATGAAAGTCATATTGGAACCACTCTATTAATGCGCGAGTATCTAAATTTAAGTTTTCTAACATGTCTTGAAAACCGTTCTCTAAAAAACGTAAGTAACGTTCACCGGTCAACGTATCCTCGAAACTGTATGGCCAAGAAAAGTTGAACCAATAATCCTACACGCTTTTATTCATTTGAAAAACTCGTATTTACAATTTTTGTTTATTTTAATTTACAAAGATTGGATGTGACAATTTCACATTTGTGAGAGCAACGACGATTGAACTTGTTTCCATGGCTAACTAAGTGAAATTAGTCAAGAAAGATAAGAATTGGCTATAACTCAGTAATTTTGTGAAAGAAACATATTATAGCTTATATCGCTGAAAAGCTTAAAAAATGACGCTATTTATGACGTCATGGCCAACTATGGTTTCCATTTAAAAAAACATATGTTTGTGTCATATGTCAAAAATGACAGGCTTTAGAAAAAATCGGAGAGCACAACCTCATTAGGGATGTGATTATCTACAACTTTTATTTGAAAACTTTTTGTCTAAAATAAATTATAATGGAATTAAGGAAAATTTTTAAAATAGTCAAAATTTGTTTTTTCGAAATATCTAGTAAGCCATGAACTTTTTTGAAAATCTGAAAGGTGCATATTTATGACCCCACAAAACTGCAATTCTTTCCCCATTTAACTGACTCTCTATCTCCAGTAGTTTCCGAGATACCCATAGAGATCCTAGGAAACTCACCCTGTATACAGGTAGTGTTTTATGGGATTTAGTAAAAAGGGAAAGGTGCAATATGGGGAAATCGATTGTGAACTTTAAATGTATCTTATGATCGAATATAAATGACAATAAGAAACTCCTGTCAAGAATGAATACACGTGACCCTAATTTATTTGATCATAAGGTATATGTCCTATTTAATGAGTTTCTATATTTAAATACATATAAGTATTGTTTATTTTTTACTATGATATTTTTTACAGTAGAATTGTAATAATAATATGTAGTGCATTTTCTTACAATAATTGCTTAAAAGTTTAATTCTGTGTAAAAACTAAACCTGCCATATTTAGTTTTCTAAGCTGGGATTATTAGGGAAGTGCAATTAGTTTTCCTTAATTATTAGATAAATTAGTGCAATATTTTGTGGTTTAATTACTTAATAAATTTTATATTATTAATGAATGTACTTATTCTTATTTATATCTCTTAAAGAATATCCAACAAAAAGAAATGTAAAATGGTTATTTTGATGACGAAAAACAGGCACCTTAAAATTTTCATGTATTTTATAGTTTTATATAGTATTGTTTTCTAGTGGACCAATTTTGATAATTTTAAACAATTTGTAGCTAAATTATTTGACTTTGTAGTATTTCTTTCTAAGTCAAAAATGAAAGATGTCATCTGTCAATTATACGAGGGAAAACAAAATGTTGATATTTTGGTGAAAGTTCGAAATGCCATGTGGAGTAAGAGAGAACAAAGCAAATAATTTAAGAATCATTTTATCATCTAGGTGTATCTTTTCTCGATGGTTTGTTTTTTTATTCATCTCAATAGCTTTTTTTTTGGAGATATTCCCTTTTGAAGAAGACATTAACATTTTTTCGTATTTTTTACATTAAAACCAAACCATGCCTTTGCTTTTGGTCCTAGTCAATAGACCTATAAAATTATGTTTATGATTTATACTAGCATGTACCAGCGACTTCGTTCGCGTCGAATTAATCATGTTAATAATTAATTTGTAATGCTGATGATAAAGCAAAGCAAGAATTTCCATTAACATACAAACTGGATAAAATTTTCTCACATTTATGTCAGCATGAGAAAAAACAATATGGCGATATTATTATATAACTTGGTAATATTTGAGGGGTAGTTTCATCTCGTTGGAATTTGACTTTCGAAAAATCCGTTTGCCAAAAATAAGCTTTTTACGTCAAGCAGTTTAAGCAGTATCGTGGTTAAGAAATTACCCAACTTTTTGGAACACCCTGTATGATTTTTTAAAAAATTTCAAAATATGTAAAAAAAATCCAAATAAATGATGCTTGTCCAAGCGTTTTCCCGAAAGACTAACCGTTTTTTAAATAACCAATATTGTAATATTTGAGAGGCGGTTTCACCCTCTTGGAATTTGAGATTCGAGAAACCCCTCCTTATCGAACCTCTACACCCCACAGTCAATCCGCTTGCCAAAAATCAGCTTTAAACGTCAATCAGTTTAAGCAGAATCGTGATTACTCAATGGTCATATTTTATGAAACACCCTGTATAAATTTATAAAAAATCTTAAAATATGTAAAACAACAAATTAAAATATACGTGTTTAAGAGTTTTTCCGAAAAACTCACCGGTTTTTAAATAAAAAAATTTTAATATTTAAGGGATAGTTTCACCCCCTTAGAATTTGAGTTTCGAAAAATCCCTTCTTATCGAACCTCTACATCCTAAAGTCAATCCGTTTTTCAAACCAGTTTTTTACGTCAAGCGCTTTAAGCAGGATGGTGATTAATCAATGACCATATTTTTCGCAACACCCTGTATACATTTTTAAAAAATCTTAAAATATATAAAAAAACAAAATAAAATATACGTGTTTAAGCGTTTTTTCGGAAACTTGGCCGTTTTTTAAATAAAAAATATTGTAATATTTGAGGGGTGGTTTCACCCTCTTGGAACTAGAATTTCGAAAAATGCCTTCTTATCGAATCTCTACACCTTAGAATCAACCTGTATGCCAAAATTGAGCTTCTTACTTTGAGTGGTTTGAGTAGGATCGTGATTAATCAGTATGTCTGTCACTTAATGATTTTATATATTGGTATAGATAATATCACTGTCTTTGAAAAATTATATTATTATTGTCGTTTGGGCAGTTACTCTAATAGATATGGTTTTAAGTCCAAAAATCGATCTCTACCATATCAATTAAAGCAGCGATAGTCGATACTTCTGACTAAGAAAACATCGCTAATCTACATATATAAAATGCTAATGTTTATCTGTGGCGTCTCTACTGAAGTAACGACTTCCTCTAGAAAGTTGCTTTTTTACTAAAAGATAGCTCGGAACACGGAGGAAAGGATGATAAAGGGAATAAATGCATTCTATGCATGTAAAAACTATTTGGAAGGAGATGGAGTCTGCTACCGTACATTATACACTGGATGTACACTGCTATAGTTAGACCAATCATCACTTATGGAGCACTAGTATGGTGGGAAACGGTACTTAAAGAGACTAATAGAAAAAGCCTCACAAAAGTACAGCGGTTAGCAGCTCTAGGTACAAGTGGACCAAGGAGTAACACAGCGCAAGCTGCGCTAGAAGCAATTCTGGACTTGCAATCAATCGACTGGCTCGTGAAGGATCTGGCCGCTAAGGGTGCCCTTAGATTAAGGGAATCCAATCTGTGGAACCAGACCAACTACGGTCACTCGAGGATATTGCCAGTGATAGGAAAAATCATGGTGAACACGAGTCC